AAAAATGAAAAAGCCTAAGCAAGTTATGAAGGTCTGTGTAGGTTTGTTATGATATATAAAGGATGAGACAAAAATAATATACATATAATCTAAAAATTTCTATGGTCATAGTTTAGTCAATTAGTTTAAGGAACAAAATATAGTCAAGGTTTATCTGAGAATATTTGGGGTGTTTTTTACCCAAGCCTTATCTACATAGCACATGATAATTAAAAGTACCAGCCTGCTGGAACTAATCTCATTGGATGTTTCATAGCCATAGTTTGAGGCCTATGCTAATGTGGTCAGAGGGACTTAAAGGACAGGTTTTGCCCCTTGCCCTCCAAGGTTGTCTAAGTTCCAGGGGACTATGGAATGTCTCTCAAAATGCCCTGAAACTGTGGTGAGTCACCTGTCTTCTTATTCAGGGAGGCCATGGAGACCCCACGAGATGGACTTGAACCAGTGTCCAGTCTACAAAGAGGAGGGTCAACTCAGAGAAAACATCTCAGTCATGCTTCCAAGTGAAGCCAGACATGGTCGAGCAGGACCTTGAACTTATCTTCACATAGATGGAACTGGTAAAAGAAAGGAGCCAGGAGCTCCTCCCAAGCCCATGTGACCCCTGAGGAACAGATCCTCAAATGACCTTAAATGTAAAAATAAATTGATTTATTTGGGCCAACTGTGTGATCTTAAGCACCCAAAAGGAAAGTCTAACCAAAGAACAAAGTCATCAGTATATGTCTTTAAGAGTTCAAGGAATTACACTTTCCAGACTTTAGGCTTAAGTCCATATAAAAAGTTATCTAGACAATTATTTCTCATTGATTATTTTGTTCCTAACCAGAAAGAGCTGCTCACATGTAAGACTTCAAATCTTGGTCTCTAATACTGTAGTGCCCACCTGTAGCTAAGGAGGACAACCAACTATTGTTCTAAAATGATCGATAAATTGGTTTTCTCCCCCTATTTAAAAGCCTTTTAGAGGGAACTGACACTGATTCTAACTATTCCAACAGCTATAAATTTTCTGAAAGCAAATCCTGAATCCATCACTCTAGAGTCCAGCCTTGGAAGACAAAAGAAAAATGAGGATGAACCCAATAGAGGGATGA